CCAGAGGAGTCGCCCCCTGGTGGACACTAGAGAGAATGCAGCTTTAATCATCTACAGGAGGAGCAGCTGCAGCAGTAGTAGTGGTTGTAGTACTTGTACATAAGTTGTAGTAGAAGTACCTGTTTGAGTTTCTCGATGGTGGTGTTGTGTCCGTCCTTCTGTTTCTCCATCTCCACCAGCTGCTGCTTCACTCCCTCCGTCTCACACTGCTTCTCCTGCAGGAGAAAGAAACATCGTTTTATCTTCATACTGAGAAACAACTGATCACAGATCTGCTGCAGGAACCGTCAGGAGAGTCTGAAACATGTGAATAGTTTAATATCTATAACATGTAGAGACTCCATGTTTCTTTTCCAACATTAATAACACTTGAAACATGTTGGATATTTAGATTATATTGTTTTCCAATTGTTGTACAATTAATTATTAAATAAATTCTACTTGTGTTTCTTTCTTTTTAAAGACTGACGTCATCATAACTGTTGTTCTGCACTAAAGACATGTTCTAGTTCTCTCTACTAGCAGGACTTTTATTTTGAAAATCAAGACCACAGAGAGAAGAAGAGTTGAGACAGAAAGGACAAATGTCCCGTGTCTGCTCTCCACCTCCACGATGCCCCCCCGCTCCTAATCCAGCTGACTGAGGGATTTCATTTAGAGAACTACTTTTAATTCTCTCTAATCTTTTGCAGCTAATTCATTTTCCTAAAAATAAAATCGACATTAAAGAAACCCAGCGGCTGCAGACGGAGGAAACACGTGTGAAACATGTAAATGAGCCGATGTCATGAAGACTCATCAGCCACCAGGATGTGTGTGATGCTGACTGTCTGTCGTCCGTCTTCAAGTCCTTCCTCTGACTCTTAAAGTTATTAAAGTTAAACATGTCTTCTGCTCATGTGTCCAGCAGAGAGCTCAGAGTATTTATACACAGACACTAAACACAACCAGACAGGTCACAGGCTCACTGCTCACCCTAACCGCTATTTAACTCTTCATCATCGACATGTGAGAGGTTTCACTCATGATGGTTCTAATGATGAAGATTGTTTCCTTCAGTCTGTGCGGTAGCTCTCGGGTCACTCCACATCACATCTGGAGATAATTGTGGGTTAAAAAGTTTGGTTCTGGTCATAAAATGTTTATTCACGGAACATTTAAACCGACGTCATCGTCACCGGAGCTTAAAGTGTCGACAAACTTCCATCTTTCATTAAATCAGTGTCTGGTTGTTAAACCGTCAGTCAAACACATGAAAGAAGACTTTTTATTAACTGGTTGTTATTATTATTACTTACATATATTAACGTTTTCTCGTAGATATATGAAGGTGTTTAGTCCGTGTTGTGTCAAATACTGTTTAAAGTGATGATTAAATCTATTCTCCTTTATTTACTAAAAGAATGAATAAATAAATACAGTATCTTAGTTTCTCCACAACAGATGTAATAACCAGTTAAAACATGTTGGAGAGTTTATGTTTATTTCTATCAAAATAAATTCATAAAACATTATTTATACGTAGAAATTAAAAAACACAGCAGTCTATTGTCTATTAAATCAAATCCAGGAATTTCTAAAGTGAATATGTAATATATAATATATAATAATAAATATGTAACATAACATAATATAACATAATAAATATGTAATAATATATAATATAACATAATAAATATGTAATATATCATAATAAATATGTAATATATAATAGTAAATATATACTATATAATAGTAAATATATACTATATAATAGTAAATATATACTATATAATAATAAATATGTAATATATAATAGTAAATATATACTATATAATAGTAAATATATACTATATAATAGTAAATATATAATATATAATAATAAATATATAATATATCATAATAAATATATCATAATAAATATATAATATATCATAATAAATATGTAATATATAATAATAAATATATACTATATAATAATAAATATATACTATATAATAATAAATATGTAATATATAATAATAAATATGTAATATATAATATTACATATATAATATATAATAGTAAATATATACTATATAATAGTAAATATGTAATATATCATAATAAATATGTAATATATAATAATAAATATGTAATATATAATAGTAAATATATAATATATAATAGTAAATATATAATATATAATAGTAAATATGTAATATATCATAATAAATATGTAATATATCATAATAAATATGTAATATATAATAGTAAATATATAATATATAATAGTAAATATATACTATATAATAGTAAATATATAATAATAAATATGTAATATATCATAATAAATATGTAGGAGTCTATAAAAGAGATGTTTAGAGCTCATAGCAATGAACAGGTGAATATATTAAACACACCTCGGTGGAGTTTGAGTCGGTCGGACAGGAAGTGACTCAGAGCCCCCGACCTGCTGCTGATTAGCTCCTCCATCGTTAATTAACTTTTCCTATTAAGAGTCGTGAGCTCTCAGTAATCAGCGGCGCTCCTTCAGGGAGTCGGTCGGCTCATCTGATTGGCTCAGAGAACCGAGGTGAGCTCTTCTTAACTGTTTGATAACGAGTTTCTTTGAGTATCACGTGATCTCATAAGTGAGTTTTAATGCACAACAACGAATTCTTCTTTTCCTTCAGTTCTGAACAGAAAACCTGCGACAACTGTTCAGTTTTTATGTTTACATGAATAAATATTATACAACATATTCTGCACTAAAGACTTTATATGAAACATGTGATATGTTGATGTTATTCATGTAACACGTTCACTGTACGCGTCTCAACAGAAGCTCATTTACATCAGTCGCATTACCTCATTTAAATATGTGTAAACGTCACAGGAGCAGTTCACACCGTTTCTTTTTGTCGTGTTTCTGCAGCACAATCCTTCAGTGTGTGTGTGTGTAGGTGTGTATGTACCTCTATCTGAAGTGTGTGTGTGTGTAGGTGTGTGTCTCTATCTGAAGTGTGTGTGTGTGTGTGTGTGTGTGTAGGTGTGTGTGAGTGAGTGTGTGTGTACCTCTATCTGAAGTGTGTGTTCTCTCTTCAGTCTCTCGATCTCCTCCTGATGTTCCAGAGAGTTCTTCTCCATTTTCTCCTGCAGAGACAACAAATCAATAATCATTAACTGAACTATATATATACAAAGCTAGCTTTATGCTAAGCTAACGTTCAGACTGACCTCGGCCTCCTTCAGTCGTCTCTCAAACCAGCCTTTGGTTCCCTCCATGGACTGAACCTGAACCTGCAGCTCCTCCAGACGCTGCTGAAGACCCTCCAGCTCTTTGGTCCGAGCCTCAAACACACACACACACACACGTTATTGATTATTTATATATTGATTATTATAACTCACATTAAATACAGAGATCAGCTCCTCCTCTTTACCTTCTCCTCTCTCAGCTGCTGTCGGATCTCCTCCTCAGAGCGATTCTTCTCCTCATGGAGACCTCGGAGCTCCTTCTCATAGCGAGCCCTCACGCCTAGGACCTGAGAGGAGAGGAGAGGATGAAAGGAGAGGAAACAAGGAAGGGAAAGGAGAGGAAGAGAGATGAGATGCATCAAAAACGAAACAGTTAAATTATTCACAAAAATATATATATATCTTTTTCACATTTTAAATAATGTGAAAAAATAAATAAAAACAAAAATAGATCAGGAATAATTTAAAGAAGAGCAAAATAAATATAAATATATATATAAATAACTTATTTATATACTTAAGTATAAAATATATTAAAGCAGATTAAAATAACTAAGATGTGATGAGGAAACTCTCACCTCCTTCTCGTGCTGCAGCTTGAGGTCTGACAGCGCCTCCTTGTGGTCAGACTTCTCCTGGTTCAGCTGCATGGCCAAGTCATCTAACATGGTCTTCCTCTTCTCTGCTGTCTGTGTACACACACACACACACACCATAAACACACACACCATACATATACAGAACACACACACACCATACACACACACACCATAAACACACACACCATACATATACAGAACACACACACACCATACATATACAGAACACACACACACACACACCATACATACATACACACACACACACACACACACACACACACACCATACATACACACACAGAACACACACACACACACCATACATACACACACACAGAACACACACACCATACATACACACACACAGAACACACACACCATACATACACACACCATACATACACACACACACACACACAGAACACACACACACCATACATACACACACACACACACCATACATACACACACACAGAACACACACACACACACACCATAAACACACACACCATACATATACAGAACACACACACACCATACACACACACACACCATAAACACACACACCATACATATACAGAACACACACACACCATACATATACAGAACACACACACACACACACCATACATACACACACACACACACACCATACATACACACACACAGAACACACACACCATACATGGTGTGTGGGTATGGTGTATGTGTGGGTATGTGTGGGTATGGTGTGTGTGTGTGTATGTGTGTGTATGTGTGGGTATGGTGTGTGTGTGTGTATGTGTGTGTATGTGTGGGTATGGTGTGTGTGTGTGTATGTGTGTGTATGTGTGGGTATGGTGTGAGTGAGTGTGTGTATGTGTGCGTATGCGTGGGTATGGTGTGTGTGTGTGTATGTGTGTGTATGGTGTGCGTGTGTGTATGTGCGGGTATGGTGTGTGTGTGTGTGTGTGTGTACCTTCTTGGCCTCCTCCAGGTCTCTCAGCAGCTTCTCCTTCTCTTGTCCTTCTTCCGTTAACTGCTCCAACAACTTCCTGTTGGCAAAACTCGACTCCTGAAGGAGAGAAGGAGAAGAAGTAAAGATCTCACTTCCCTTAAATACCTCCTTGTTTCCTTGTCCCCTCTCACTGAGGACACGAGGAAGAGACACATGGAAGAAGAAAAGCTGAGGAAATGTTTAGTCAAATGAGACGTCATTCATTCTACACAGAGTAGCATCTGTATCACCTGTGTGATCTGTATCACCTGTGTGATCTGTATCA